GGGAATAAATAGGAACTCAGTTTTAAATCACATTTTCCTCAGTAACAGATACTGCATTTTGGGACATCCCAGCTCAAAAAAAAAAAAATCAGAAGAATTGCAAATTGTCAGGTATTATTCCATTCTAGCAAACCAAGTTTGTAACATGTGACTTCGTGGCTAGATGGGTGGTGCTATCTGCATTCTTAAGTGTATTTCTACACGGGAGCCCAGCTGAGAAGATGAAGCTATTTGTATAAGGTTATACGGTATTCTATGTACAAAAAGAGAGAGATGGAAAGAAATGTTATCCAAAGCAAGTGATGATCATCTACCCATCCATTCAATCAGCAACTATTTATCTGGATACCACTCTCCGGGAGGCTACATTTTAAAGAGAAATGAGGCAAATAAACAACAAATAAGAAGTGATCCAGTGATGAAAAACTAAGCTACAGGTAATGTGTTAGCAACTGTATGTTTGGTCAAAAAAAGTTTTTTGAAGTGTTGGCACCAACTAAAATCTCAACAAGAGGGGAAGTGCAATGAAAGGTCTGTAGTAAGAGTGCTCACCAAAGAGGAAAATCAAAACTGGCAGAGGGGTACACATTGGCCTCAGCAAGAGTCAGGGATGAGGAGGTGACCAGGTGCTCAGTGATGAGACAGAACCAAAAGCAAAAGTGGGATGGAACCCGACACAGAAAGAACACTGGAGGCAGTGGAATTAGGTGATGCAAACATACAAGGTGGAGATAAAAAATTCCACTTTCTCCAGGAATGGTTTGCATCTGGATCTTGCTGCTGTTTAGACCTACCTCTGCCAAAGGCCATGTGCAGTGCCTTTTGTGTTTTGAAATAAATACTAAGACATCTGTAATCCTTTAAGAAAATTATATCCCACCTTAATGGCACAGTTTCCCCGATTACCAACAAAACATGTTTTTATGACAGAACATTTGAAAAATAGGCCAAAAGAAGAAAAAATATATCAAAGTAAATATTGCTGATGTAATTTGGTCATAAATGCTGTTATGGCCTGAGCAGGGGTTTTTCCCAAGGTTTATGTGTTGAAGCCTAACTTCCGAGGTGAAGGTATTGAGCTGGCACCAAATTTTCTTTATGAAGTGATCAGATTATGAGGGTGGAGCCCTTGTGAGCAGGGACAGTGCCTGTATAAAAGGGGCCTGAAGGAGCTTGTAAACCCATTCTGCTCTCCCAGCACGTGAGGAAAAGGCAAAAGGCAACATCTACTACATTGCGAGACACAAAACCTGCTGGCATTCTGATCTTGGTCATCCTAACCTCCACAACTGTGAGAGAATAGATTCCTATGGTTTATAAGTTACCTAGACTAACATTTTGTCACAGGAGTGTGAATGGGCTATTTTTATGCTTCTATAGCATAGTACTTCAGAATACAGGCTCTGGAGTCTAAAAGTCATGCCTTTGCAACTTACTAGGTTAAGCTACTTAATTTTTCAACCTACTTAATTATTTATAAAATCTCACAAAGAACCTATAGCCTCTTTAAGCTTCAGCTCTCTTACCTGTAAAATGGGGCTAGCAAGAGCACCTGCCTTGTAGAACTTCTATGAGTATTACACGAAGCAGTCCGTGTGATGCTTCTGACTTAGTGCCTGGCAAATCACACCCACTCTAACAGGACCCTCTACATAGCTGGGATTGTATTGTAAAGCTGCAAGTACATATGTGCTTATTCCAACTTATCATAAAGCATCTTTACATAATCTCAAACATCACTTTCAAGGATACACAGCCTGCTTCTGTAAGAGCATAAGATGTTGTAATAGGTTCAAGTGCCACTTGAGATTTCCGCGTCTCAGATCACATGCCAGCTTAAACCCAGCTTCTTTGAACTTTTAATTCAGCTTCCTGCAAATGACCTGAGAAGCAAAAGGTGGACAGCACAAGTAATTGGATTCTGCCGCCCACATGGGAGACCCAAAGAGAGTCTGTGACACCCTCTTTGGTGTGACCCTCTGGCTGTGTGGACATTTGGAAACTAAACCAGGCGATGGAATGTCTTCCTCTCTTTTGTCTTACCCTCTCTCTTGCTCTTACCTTTCAAATAAATAAATAAATAAATAAATGAACAAATAAATACACCTTAAAAATTCCCTACTATGGGGCCCGGCGCTGTGGCACAGTGGTTAAGGTCCTTGCCTTGCATGCCCGGGATCCCATGTGGGCGCCAGTTCTATCCCGGCTGCCCTGCTTCCCTTCCAGCTCCCTGCCTGTGGCCCGGGAAAGCAGTGGAGGACGGCCCAAAGCTTTGGGACCCTGCACCCACGTGGGAGACCTGGAAGAGGCTCCTGGCTTCGGATCGGCATAGTATCGGCCGTTGCACTCACTTGGGGAGTGAATCATCGGAAGATCTTCCTCTCTGCCTCTCCTCTCTGTATATCCGCCTTTCCAATAAAGAAAAAAAAATCTAAAAAAAAAAATTCCCTACTATGGAACACTTATGATTTTTTTTCATTTTTCAACTATTTCAACAAAATTCTACAGAAAAAAAACTTGCAAATGTTCATACTGCTTTTCTAGGATAAATTCTAAGAAGTGGCTGAGTCAATGGGAATGTCTATTTCTAAAACTCTTTGATGCATATTGTTATGTTTTCTTTTCTGCAGTTTTGGAAAGGAAACAATGCACATATGTGTGAATCTTTGTGGGCATGAGTTACCATGAGCGCAGTGTGAGTATTTTACCTCTTCTGTAACTTAGTTTTGTTTTTTTTACACCTGTTCACCTATTCTGGGAGGCATCATCTCTCATTCTTCTTTAGGAAGCCTTCTCAGTAGCAGGACTCCTCTAAGCAATCTTACGGATTTCTGATTTGTTGGGAGTTTTGTACTAACTATTCTTTTCAGTTGAAATCATGAACTCACAGTGTTTTAATGTATTAATAATCCAAGCCCTTCATCTTATAAATAACATGAAATCAAAGTAAACAGGTAATTTGTTCAAGTTGGTCCTTTGGTTTCTTCTAGTGTCTGATAGCTAATTATGGCTGGCTCATTTCTTTGCCTCCAGTATCCAATTTAGCAGCCAAGGTTCTCCAGGCAGCCAAGAATATTTGTTAAGTGAATTGCTACCGCAAATAACTTCTAGCCTCCTAGGACTTTGTGACTAGAAAGAATAAGATAGATGTGGAGCCCAGGGGTCAAACTTGGTTAATGAGAAGAATGTTGTCGTGTAGCTATTAGAGAAAAACTGGATTAACCTTATTCAGGTGCAAGAAGACTTTGTGGGAATGAGGTAGGCGTCATGTATGGAAGGCATCGCGTACGATTCTGCTTTGCTCCAGAAGACAAAACCAAAATTGGGAAAAGCAGACAGTTACTGGGAGGTCGATTTCTTCACAATAAAGCAGAGTGTTTGGATAATTAATATTATTCATATTCTGAATATATTTTCCTGAAAAGAAGGAGTTGCCCCAATTGAATTCGTTTAAGTAAAAAATGGGGTAATAAAGTTATAAGTGTTTAAAATGATTTTTTTTGGTTTGTTTTCATATGCCTGGCAGAGATAAACTAATAAGGATTCTACCAAAATTAAGATGAAAGTATTTCTTGTATCTTGTTAGAGATGTAGCTTTACCCACCCCCCCCTTTGATCTGTTACTTTGCAAATCAGTATTTTGAGTGTGAATCCATTATCTTTCTTATTACCAACAGGGTCAAATAAACTCTAATTTATTAGGCCCTCCTGACCCAAGATTCTATGTTTCTAAATAATCTTTTTAGTACTATTCAATATGCTACACACAACAGGAGTTCAAAAGATACATTTAAATTAGCTTTTAAGTCTGAAAAATCTACATTTAAAATAAATTGAACTGCAGCTCCATGCATTTGAAAATTTTGATTGAACTCAGCTGGTCTCATCTAAATCTAGTGGATCATGCTGAAGAGTACTAAATATTCATTAGTTTAATTTTTTAATTAAAAAAGGTTAAAAATAAAAGAAAAATTTGGAATGGATTTTATTGTGGTGGAATAAGTGTTCTCCTACTGAATTTTTGAATGATTATGAAAATATAACCAGAATTCTTTCCTTGGAAAGGAAGAATCCTTTTAATTTTAAATTGCAAACATGAATATGCTTTGATTGCACTTCAAGCATTGAGTTGTTGAAAGACCACCCATAGTATAATTATTTCATATAAACCCTAGGGGTAAGATAGCTAGGTAAATGAACCATATTCCAAGAGTGTTTTCAATTTTCAAGATTTTGCATCAGCAGTAGACATGAAGTTTCCAACAAGTGCACACTTGAGCTGGGAGGAAAGCTGTGCTCTCAGATAGCAATCTAACAAGCTCTGATGAGTGAGGTGATGGCAGCTGTGCTGTGCTCCTCCATTGCAGCCAGGAAGCAGATGGGGAAGAAACAAACATCAAAAGCTGCTTAGTGTTCATTTGTTTAGCTTTCCTTCCTTTTCTCCTGGCTGCTCTTCCTTCCTTCCTCTCTTTCTTTAAAAGGTAAAATATGAAAATCATTGGTGAAATCAGTATTTTATTTGAATTACCAGCAAAGTTTGTGACATTTTTTTAATCAATAAATTATGGTTCAAGTCATGATGGACTAGCCATTTGCTGGAATATTTGAGCCACACTCCTAGTCTTATCTAGATAAGAAAGCATGCTAATATCCCAAGGGCAGCAGCACCATCTATGTGTCACCTCATGCTAAAAGATAAAAATGGCAGGCATGAATCTGGGCCTCATGGGGCATAGCAAATCCACGGCACCAATTTGTTACAGAATCTAGGCTTTGTGAACCAACTCCAGACAATCATTGTAATGTATCACAGAATAGAATAGACAGGTGACATCCAGTTGTGATCCATGGTGGGAAATCAAAAATTCTCATTCTGACAATCATGGTTATTTCATATCTATTAAGTAGGGCTCATTTTATATGCATCATGCTGAAGTTTGAGTTTTTGAATACTCTTAGAAGCATTAAGCAAACCTCATTTTGTAAAATAAAAAAATTACCTCCACTGCTGCTTTTGCTCTTTCAAATTCCTCTTCTAGGGAGTGGTTTCGAGAGAGTAGTGCACTTCCCCAGCGATGTTCTTTTGTCAGTCGAGCCTGAAGTGAAGCAAACACACAACGTTGTATTATTAGAATGGCAAACTAAAACACAAGTATTTTTCATTTTTCTCATCTCAATTCCCTAAAGTTCAAGAAGCAACTGTCATTGATGCCAGTTTGGATCTCATGGCAGACGTGGTGTTGCCCAAATTGGGATGATTTAGGATTTCGCGTGTGCGTGCTTGTGAGGCTGTTCCAGCAGGAGCTCTCAGATCCTAAAGATCCCACTTGAAGGATGTGAGTTCCAGGAATCGATATTTCAGGAAGCTCTCCAGACGATTCTAACATGCAGGCAGGATGGGAAGGTTTGTTGTAGAAATTGTGAGCCTTCAGCTGATCAGGAGAACAGCCTCAGGCAAAAATGAAAGCTGCTGGAGAGGGAGGGTGGCCCCCAGGCCCTTCTGCTTATGCCCTGGGCAGATTCCCATGAAGAAATTTCTTGGCTTTCCCTTTCTTTGGTCTCATTTCTCAGGCTACCTACTTTCATAATGAATTACTCAGAGTAGGTAATTTCTGACAAGAGCTGACAGGCAATGTGATACACAATTTAGCTAAATGCAAATATTTCAAGAAGAGCTCCCCTGGATAATCAGTTGTAAAGGAAAAGTTATTAATTCTTAATTTCACTAAAACCAATATCTTTAAAAATCATGAAAAGTTAAGAGGTTTACCCAGATCTGTTTCCCTACCTATATATTTACATTTTGTTAGAAAATCGTAATGTGTTGTAAAATACTTTTGCAATGTATGTGCTATGCCATGCTGCAGCTTTTCTCCACTCATTAAAAGTTTGAGCGGCTAGTATTTGGAACTCAATCTCATTCTTTCCCCTAGGACTGCCCACCAGGGATGCACTGTAGCTTGTTCACACAAACTCCTTTTAGGTTTTAATTGTTTTCTGTGGTTTTTCTCTCACTGTGCAGTGGAACCCATAAGGATTCTGTCTGGTGACTTTCATACCGTCCCATCTATCACAATGTCCAATGAGGAGTGAGTTTCCCCACAGTGAGGCCTTGAGGAGCAAGACAGAAGCTTGTGAACTACATGCCCATCTCTTTTTAGTGAAGAGCCATGCAGAGATGGGGTGAGTGGGTGACATCTTAGCCTTGGGGGTGTTAGCATGTGCCACAGCAGGGATGATCACTCTGGATTTTGTGGGCTTGAACAGACCCAGACCGTGCCCCAACACACTCCGTAAGCATCTTTGCAGGAGGAGTGGGGACATTAAGATGTTTGCCACACTCCTTGGTAATGCTGACGAGCAGCCATGCTTGAAAATCACTGTTTTATAGCAAAACTCGGCCTTAGCATTGCACTTAGCATCTACCAGGTCAGCTGCTTTCTGCCCATCCTCTACCACTGCAGTTCTCCAAACACAACAGCAGGGTCTAAGCTCACTAAGGGCCAGATCTTAGATACTGTGACTAGTTTTTTCTTTTTCATGACCCAATGAGCTGGGCATTATCATCTACTCCCTTTTCATGATGACAAAGGCACAGAGAGCTTAAAAAAACTTCCAAAATCAGTCCATGAGTGAAAGGACAAAGTGGTTTGCAGCCATGCGCTTCACCCCCACTCCATTATCTCTCATGGAGGGTCTGTTGATGCAGAGGATGTGCAGCAGAGCGAAACTCTCCTGGCAGAACAGGTAGTGGTGGTCCATGCATAGCAAGGAGTCACTCAACAAGCTCGAAGAGGTATGGGTTGATAACAAATAGTGAAATAATTACGACGGGCACTTCTCATCCTAAGCACGAGTTATTGGTTGTCTCTTGTTTCATGAACTTGAAAGATTTACTCCATTCCATCATTAATTTCTGTTTTCTTCTCCCTGTTGTGAAAACTGCAGAATCCCTGGCACCTCATGCAGGCAGTGGGTGCTCCATGTAGAGTAAACACTTATGTTATCCTTAAACAGGTGAATGAATTCAAGGTGTTTTTCTCTCTCTGATCCCCAGAAAGTTTTCTCAGTTTTCAGGCCAATTCTGGAGGCTAAGGGGGAGCTTAGGAGACTGAGGAGACTGTAATTTACTTTTTTTTCTCCATGGACCTGGAGTGGCTGGGCATTTGGGTTACAGTATTTGCTTTGCTTCCAATTTCAGTTTCTTGATCAAATGTACCCTGGGAGCAGCAGACTGAGTTTCTGACATCCTTGTGAATGACTCAGATTGAATTCTATGCTCCTGGCTTTAGCCTGGCATACTTTTAGTTGCTGATGGTATTTGGGAACTGAATCAGAAGATAGGAGATCTCCTCTGTCTTTATCTGTCTCTGCCTCTCTACCTTTCAAATAAATAAAATTAAAGAAAGTGTAAGTGGGAATGGCTGTTACACCATCCTAGCAAGGAGGGCCTTAGAACCAGATTTAGTGCAAGTTAATAAAAAATAGCATTTCTTTTTGTGCTCCAGCTTGTGGTAGCAGATTCATATTCATTGCAGAAGTAAAAGAAATTTTAAGTAGCCTGAATCAAGTCAAGAAATTAAAAATTTTTTAAAGCCAGGAATACCATTTAGTTTCAAAGTAAATAATTAATTCAGAATCTGCCTGAATTAGATGAAATTACATTAAATTTAATTGAACAACACTGAATAGATTTTTACTGAATGCAATGGAGAGATGTCACTGGGTTGCTATAAATAATGAGAAAATTATGAGAAGCATATTTTATAAATGGTTCTATATGTCTTTAGATATACATCTATAAAAAACGCAATGCTCGGAATGTGGCTAAATTGTTTTTTGAAATTGCATAGTATCTGAGATTCGTTCACTAATACATGAAGAAAACATAAGGGTATTCTAGCTTAAAACGGGCTTGGTTAGGTAATTCATAACGAGTATTTGGAAACTGCTAGCTCTCCTTACATCTATCTTTGATGCAGACTGTGAATTGTGGTTATTTTGGTGTCTAATATCTACACATGACACAATCAATTTTGTTCCTGGCAATGACAAACTTTTTAAAACACACGATTCTCCCCTGTTGGGGAGAGTGAATGTGGTGCAGCTGGAGAAAACCTGGCAAAGGTGGCTCATTTGGGTCCTCATTTAATCACCCAAGACAAAAAGAAAACAAAGTGCAATGATCTGAACTAGATTTGGTGCCTGTACTTGTTCAGACATATAAATCCTGAGTCACAAACACTAAGAGGGTAGAAGCTTATATAGCAGAATAGTATTTAGGCAGGGGTTCTGGAAGAAGACTCTTGGATCGCTGACAGCATGGTCTTGGGAAATTGCTTTTGCAAGTGAGTTTGTTATGAAGGCTTGAGTTGATCCAGCTGACTCTGTTCCTTGGCTCGCCCTTCATCCTTGCTCCATCTTCATCAGAGATAAAACCAAAGGGGCCATCCAATCTGGGACTTGAATATCCAAAATGGTTGGCTAAATGAAACTTTTCTCTTTGTTAAGTTCATTTGAAAAAAACTGACTATAGAAAGTCATGGCCAATATAAGATGCCTCTGCTCAAGTGGGGAAAAGGGTGGCTGCAGCTGCTGCTTTGTTTCCTGTCATAACATAAAATCACTAATATTACCTTGTGGTGATTCTTTTATTTTTGGGCAGTATCCCATAAACAGAGGTTCACTGCTAGTACCCTCCTACCAAGGAATTATAACGGAGTGTTTCTCCCCACATACTCCTTATTTTCTGAGATTTTTTGCCATACTTCTGAATTTTCAGAAAGAGCTCAAAAAATTCTGATTAGGACATATAAAGAAATGCTAAAATGTAGATTATTTACAATCTTTCACATTGCTATGTTTTCAGGACAATATACACTGGCAGAGAAGTTAATTACAAAGGTAATATAATCTTTTCTTTTTAGATTTATTCATTTATTTTGAAAGTCAGACTTGGAGAGGGAAAGACAGAAAGAGAAATATTCTATTTACTGGCTCACTCCCCAGGCGGCACAGTGAGCGGTTAGTGCTATGCCAAGCCAAAACTAGGAACCAAGAGCTTCATCTGTGTTGCCCACATGGACGGCAGTGACTCAAACATCTGTGCCATATTCTGCTGCTTTTACCAAGCCATTAGCAGAGAGCTGGATCAGGAGTGAAGCAGCCAGAACATGAGCAAACCATGTGGTTTGTTGGTGTTAGACGTGGCAGATAAACTCCCTAGGACACAATGCTAGCCCCTTGTTTTATGGACCAAGGCCCATCTTTTTCTAACTTGCAAAACTCATTTTCTCTCCCATCTACCTCTAAGTAGCTCTATGCCTCAGTGCTTTGCTTTTGTTAGCAACTCTTTTGTTTTCTTATTAGTTCTTTCATTAACGACAGAAAATATGTGGACATATGGTAGGAAATAAACTTTGTGGAAAATTAGATACAGGGAAATACAAATATGCCTCATGCTCATGCATTGAAAGAAATAATACTGTTTTGAGATTCTTACTATCAAAAACACAAGCAACAAAAGCAATATTAGACAAACGGAATTACATCAAACTAAACAGTTTCTGTAATACAAAAGTATAATCAACAGAGTGAAAAGACAACCTAGAGATTAAAAGAGAACATTTGCAAATTAGACATTTGATAAGGATTCATACCCTAAATATATAGATAATTTAGCCAGAAAACCAATGACCTGAAAATTCATTTCTTAAAAGAAGACATACAAATGATCAGCATTTACATGAAAAATAGGTTTAATATAACTAAATGCCAGTGAAATACAAATTAAAACGCAGTGAGGTAAAACCTCACATCTGTCAGAATGGCTATTATCAAAAAAGATAAAAGGTACGTGCTCGTGAAGATGTGGAAAACGGGGAACTCTTGGAAGGAATTGAAATTAATGTGGTCATTGTGGAGGAATAACATATGAGGTAATAATCCCATTACTAGGTATGTATCCACATGATATAAAATCAATGTGTGAGAGACGTACCTGCACTTCCATGTTCACTGAGGCATTCTTTACAATAGCCACGATATGGAACCACCAAAAATGAAACCACCGCAGCACAAGAAATGATAGGGACAA